TGAGCCCAGTGAGCCCCTCCAGCTGGTGAAGGATCCAGCCAAGGTATCTGAAAGACCCTACCTTCAGGCTATTAGGCCCCACTCAGTGGCCCAGTTAACAAGGTTGTGCTGGCTAGTCTTAGGTCACCTTGACACAGCTAGAGTTATCTAAAAGGAGGAACCTCAGTTGAGAAAATGCCTCCATAAGATTCAGCTGTAAGGCATTTTCTTAATTAGTGATTGATGGAGGAGGGTCCAGTGTTGCAGAATACTTATTTAACTATGGAAAATGGCTTTTATACTATAATCTTGAAAATGGTCCATAAGCCTATTTTTCTTTTATTCTTAAAACAACCCTTTCTGGCTGCAGACGGGGGCGGGGCGGTGGGCACAGGAAAACTCCAGCTACACTTAATTGTTTGTGAGTTAAGAGAAACTGTGAATTTCATATGGTGAGTTTAGGTATGACTTCAGTGGGAACAAACTCCTCAGGTAGAATGGCTTTGACTTATCCAGATGTTTAAAATATTAACCATAGGCAGCTAAGGGAACTTGGGTAAATGCCACAAAAAATTGTGAGACTTTGATATGAGTTCCTCCTTCCCTCCCTTCCTCCCTCCTTCCCTCCCTGTCTCTTTCTTTCTTTCTTTCTTTCTTTCTTTCTTTCTTTCTTTCTTTCTTTCTTTCTTTCTTTCTTTCTTTCTTTCTTTCTTTCTTTCTTTCTTTCTTTCTCTTCCCACTCTCCTTTCTTCCCTCTCGCCTTCCTTCCTTCCCATCTTTCTTTGTGTCCCTTTCTTCTTCCTCTTCCTCCTTCCTCTGTTCTTTCATTTTTACTTCCTGTTCTTGGGGGATGACACAGTAATTTTGAACTTAGTAGTCATGAGCATAGAACAATCATATTTATTTAAGTCATCAGTTATTTGTTTACATATGTGTACATGTTTCGTGTTTTCACAACACAATCCTAAATTCACAACTTGGAGAAATAAAATTTAAAGTAATTTTGTGTGCTACAGAAGAGCAAACACTGACATGTAGACATTAAAACAGAATATTTAATAATGGTGATTGGCTCATTCAACAACATGGAGAGCATCACTCAAGTTTAAGTCTATGCTAAGTGGCAAATTTTTCCATTTCTTTTCCTCACAAACATTGTAGCAAAATCCACAAAAGCCATTTTTGAAACTCTAATATGTGATTCTTAATTTTCCACATCATGGTGCATGCTTCCCCAGTGTCTTGAAGACAGTAGAGAATTTTCTTATGCCGTTCTGCTCAGCAATTCCCCTGCAATGTGAGAGAGCATCTCACATTGTTCTCAAACACTTCTTGTTTTCCTGGTCCCATTGTCATTTTCTTGGAGGAAATTCCTAGGTATAAACTGGTTGGATCTTACTGTTCACTTTGTGTGCTGCTGGGGTTTTCATAACAAAATAGCACTGCTCCCTCCCACCTCCCCCCAAAAAAATGAATAGTGCATTCAAGAAATAGTTGTGTGGTGGAGAGAATAAATTCCTGTCTTCTTGTCCATCGGGTTACAGAAGAATTTCTCCCCAGATGCCTACTGGTCAGATAATCCGTATCATATATGCCTTACTAGGGATCCCCCAAATGATAATACTCTTCAACTTTGCAAATATAATGCATCACCATGCCCATTCAGAACTTTGGAAACACCTTTAGGATGCAAACCAGAAGAGGTGATGCTCGCTAACTGATGTTCTTACGTATGAACTGGTTTACCTTTTTCAAATCCTTAATAAGCTCTTGTTGAACACATGGCAAAAGGAATATATGTATGTGTTACATAATCTGTATGTATATCTATAAATGTGCATGTAAGTATATGTGCACATGCATATTTAAGTGTAGGTATTACATGTCTGGTTCTCTGTGTATTACTGTGTATTTAATATGCCACTCACCACTCTGATATGCACCTTGTTTCCAGTGTTTAAGACATGGTCTTGAGTATAATGACTTATTTAACCTTATTAAACAAATCTAGATTGTGTATGAAGATGGTATGTGTTAGAATACCATGCTGAAGTAGTTGTCCTATATTTAAAACTCTTAGGTCAAGAATAGAACATTCAGACCAAAGTAACTCTAATGCTGTCATTTTCTTCTTCATAAAACAACAGTTGCTTAATAAAAGACTATTACAGGATATTATAGTTTAAATGCAGTTTTATAGGCATTTTCTTTGCTTCTCTGAATCACCCTACCAGGTGAGTTTAAGAAAACTGAGCACCTGAGGTTTCTAGGAGGAGCCTTTCTTGTTGGATTCAAGTCTTCTAATCCTAGCTCCTGGACTCTTTGATCTCACAGTGCTCCTGACACTGGTAAGGGCAAGAAATTATTTAAAACCACAGATTATAGGAAGTCCCTCCAGTAGATACAGTTAGAAGAAGCTGTTTGGAAAACTATTAGCACGTGGTGGGGCCAAGTGAGGCAGGAATGACTGGGATGGGCAGCCCGTTCCTGACGGTCCAGTTGCCCCAGGAAGGGGTTATATAAAGACAAGACCAGTCACATGCCGGTTCTTCCTGCCACCAGGAAGTGGGTCTTTAGGGAGTCTTGTGGACCGGGCTGTATTTGGCAATGACTTTTCCAGAGCCTGCTGGTGACTGAGATAGGACACTTCTCTGGACTCATGCTTGCTGGTTTGAGAGTGATATCACAAGCCCAGTTTGCTGTCTGTAGACATCAGCTTTTGTAATTATGTCTAGGGCCAAAGAAAGGTTCGGCTGTTTCTCGGAAACTGTCTTTCAAAGCCCGCACACAGTCACAGCTGTATATGCATCACAGACTTTAGAGGCATGCACTGTCATGTCTAAACAAATTCCCCACATGGGGTCCTGTCAGTGAACTAGATAACATTAAAAAACAAACAAACAAACAAACAAACAAACAAACAAACAAAAAACCCCAAGAAAACCATGTCAGCAACAGAGACTGTTCTGGATTAGCCACCACCCCACAAAGTCAAACAGAAAGCTGTTATAGAAAATGAAAGCATCAATATCAATTTCCCCTTATTCTCAACATTTCTTAGAAGTTGCCAGGTATAAACTAAATGTCAGCTCTCCATTTCTTCCATTTTTTTGCATTTCTTCCTGATTTTGCCACAAGTGTATTTGTGAGTAGTTGGTTTGAACATCTCCAAACATGGTCACAAGTCTCTATTTTCCAAATTCTGGGGCAATAGCAAAGTGTATAAAACTTCTATTTTTTAAGCAATTTTCAAGTAAAAAGTTTTACAAAAAATTTAGACTTTCTAGGCTAAAGCTTTTTTTTTGTACTAAGGTTACTTAAACATCAGCTATATAACACATAAAATTTACAAACTACTGAGATCCTGTAGTCCAGCATAATAATTGTAACAGGCACATGATACAAACACTACAATTTAAGGAAATGTTCATGTGTCGCTCCTTTGTATTGGTTATGTCTGCAAAAATATCTGACAGACAAAAATGATGGGTGAGGCTCCAGGAAGATTTCAGTCCATCCTTGCTGGGAAGTAGGGGTGTCGACTCAGTGGGAGCAGCCCTGTGAGGTGGGCTTGCTCATGTCACAGTGAACCAGGAAGTAGAAAGAGTTAGATCAGAGCCCAGGGTGGGACCAGCCCTTCCCAAGCCTGCCCCCAGGGACCGCAGAGGTAAACACGGGTACTGCTAATACTGGTTTGGTGATCTACCCACCCCACATCCTACACACCTGCATTCTCTGTGGACAAATTGTCTTTTACCCTTCTTTCTGTTACATCACTAACATCTCCCATGATACTAAGAGGGACATGCACTAAGGTGCTTGCTAAACAAATGAATGATGGGCGAGTATATGCCATTGTGAAAACTTGGATTGTACCATAAAAGGCATGCAATCAAATTGTTAATAACATTTAGAGTTATGAATGGAAGGTTCAGCTTTTAGAAAGGAAACACATACATTTTCTCTTGTGACTGGAAGCATCAGACTGTCCCTGGATTAAAGATGATTGATTGGCTTGTGCATTGGTATCCTGAACTTCCAGGTGGTACTTGCCCACTGCATCCTTTCAGACAGCCAGTTGGACTCACAATCAAGGGAGGGAGGAGTAGATAACAAAGCTTCAGATGTAGTGAAGACAAAAGAGGAGGGACCCTTTCAGACATGAGATGCGACGAAACGCCTGAAGAGCAGGCGAGAAAGGAAGTAACAAGGTCAGCCATGGAGTTTCACAGAGAAGGTGTTTCAGCAGAAAACACTAGAAAATCACTCCCAGAGAGTGGGAGTCACCACAAAAGCCGTGTGTTGGGTGCTTGTGTAAAGGGCGAATATCACGTTAGTGGGCTATATCCCTGATGCTCTTGGGTGGATATTAGTCCTTGCCCCCTTCCTCTCCCCCTTCCTCCACTTCCTTTCTCCTCTATACTTTCCTGTAATTTTTTTTTTTTTAGAAATAATTAAGATTTATGTGTTCCTAGTCTTCATGGTAACTGGCTTTTCATCTCCATTCTGCTGCTAGCAGTGATCTTCATATACAGAGGGATGGATATACAAGGAAAGGTTGTATTTTGTATTCTTCACCTTGAACACCATTGGCTTTGATGACTATGTGATATAGATAAGTTTCACTACTCAGAGAAGAAACTTAGCACCCAAAGTCACAGCATCAACAGTATTTTGTTTCATCAAAATTTGTATTACATTTGTCTGTTTATTTATTTAACTGGTGTGTGTGTGCGCGCACATGTGTATGTGCACACGTGATACTTACCATGTAAATGCACAAGTGAGTTTTCTCCTTCTGCCATGTGGGGCCTGGGGACTGAATCCAGGTTATCAGGCTCTGTGGCCAGGGCCTTTATAAAGGGCCATCTCAACAGTTCAACAATCTTTTAAATTAAAATGTAACCATAAATACTGCAGTAATTTCCTGGAGAAGGATGGAAGCCAAAAGTATTTTGAAAATCCCAATCAGTTGCTAATTTATGAAAAAATCTGAATTAATCATAAATCATAAGAATGATCTTTTCTTCTCATTAAATAGGATATTCATTTCAGAAGGGCCCCCTGATAATTTCCAGTTGGGTTTTAACAGTGGTTAGCCAGGACTGGGATGTAAATGTGGACCTTCTCCTGGGTTTATGCAGCTTGTGCTTAGTCTGTAAAGGGAGAGAGACCAGAAGAAAACGCCATCCATCACTAACTTACATGTGATTGAACTTTTGCATTTTCATACAAATTCTTTTGAAATTACCTGCCAATTTCCATCCTCCCCTTGACAACCTGCTGTGTCTTCAGTCTTGCTAGGGGGGGGCCTCTTCTGTTTGGTTTTCCTTCAAAAGTTAAGAAAAATAAACTGAAAGAATGATCATTTTCCAAATGTTATATCAGGAAGAAAGTTTCACCTGGAAATTTTTTTCATAGTTTGGTTTATTCCACATGAACTATCAAAGGGTAACAAGGTCAATTTATTTTATTTATTTTTTAAATATGGAACACAATGACGCAAAAGAACCACTCCTCCGTCAGCCTGCCATGGAGTCACAGTCATAGCCACTCCAAAGCTTTGTAGTTATGTCTTGTTTTGCAATGTAATAATAAATAAATAAACAAATAAATTTTAAAAAATAAATAATTAAAAACACAAAATCTCAACCACCCTCATCAAACCTTTCATTTTTTCAAAATCCCCCATATTGTTATAGTTGATGTATGAAAAAAATAATTTATGTGATCATATAAATTAAAGAAAATTCCCTTGAAGCCATCGTGTGGTTGATGACGTAGGGCTGACGGGAGTACATGGAGGCGGGCTGCTTGCCTCTCCCAGAGCTATCCTCCTGGCTCTGCAGGGGTAATGATTGCATCCATCCTGCATCCTGCACAGTTACCCTGTTTATTTCCCAAGCTACGTGCCCAGTTGCTGCTGTCAACAGAGGTACACATGGACTCCACAACTCCCTACTCTTGCTTAACTTCATCGGCTCGAAATACTTTGTCATCTGCTATGTCTTAAGTGACACCAAACTGTAGTTTTTCTCTGCTTGCCGTTGGTGACGCTAGGACTGAGATAACATTTCAGGCCATCCTTTTATTTTTAAAGAGATGCTACCTCAGTGTGTTTCTCAGTCAATCCTTGAGCTCCCGGGCTTAAGCAATTCTCCTGCCTCAACCTCAGTAGCCAGGAACATGACTATAGGCAACTGCCAATGTACCTGAATCCCAACCCTGCTTGTCTCTTAGTCACAAATACTACTGTAAACATTGTAAGAGAAGCACAAGATAATCCAGATGAATTTAGCATCTGTGCCTGCTAAGGCACAGAACACTGACCTGTGTTGTCTGGTACTCTCATCTCAAGGTGGCCACTGCACCCCTATTAAAAAAACACCTTTTTGAAGTGCTGTGGAGTCGGAGAAGGGAGCTGGGTGCTGGCTGGACAGAATGAGAGACCACATGGACAGAAGACAGCTGTGACTTAGTCCTGGTGGCTGAAGAAGATGCCATGGTTGGAGCAGACTGGGAAGAGTGAGTCACTATGTAGGAGCCCAGCAGGCTAAGACCTGGGGCTCAGATGGTTTAGCGGCCACAGCTGGCAGCTGCATCGGAAGTGGAAGGTCCCAGAGGAAACAAAGTGCATCCTAGGTGAGACTTGGCAGCCAGAGTTCAGGAGAGAGGACATCCAGAGGATGCTGTGGTGTTTCAGGTCTGTGGACCACAGGTTAGACTCCAAGGTTAGCTGATGGGCGTCTATGTTAACAGACAGGGGGAACGAGGCCTGCCCAGGGCCCCCAGTGGAACTGTGAAGCGGGTGAGGGATCAGTCAGGCCCCAGCAACCCCTCCAGTTCTAAAAGCTGAAATAATGAACGGATCATGCCAAGTGTTATGGAAAAGGCACAGCCTTCATGTTTTGGTGTGACCTGGAGTTCGGGGTCTGGACAGTGTCTGCCATGCTTTGGGGCTTTCTTCTCTAGGGAAGGAGACAGTTTTCACACAGAGGCACCATCAGTTAAAAACCCCTGGGGAAAGAAGGCTCTGTAAAACAGGAGAAGACATGGGAAGAAGGTTTTATTGTGTATTATTAAGCTAAACCACGTGGTGACGTCTGAGGGCTCTACAGAGATAAGAAGCAGGTTACTATGGTGAGGCAAATTGGCATGTTCCTAGATCACACGGTTGCGTGTTCTGTTTTTTTGACATAAGCAGTGGAAATATATTCCTTTCAATGAATTTCAAACATTGTGTGCTCCCCAGGCTGCCCATCAGAGGACCAGGTTGTTCATCTACATGTCTGCTGCTGTGGATCCTGATTCGTGTCTACCGTTTCCCTTGCTCCTCTCTCCTCTTCAACCCCCAGCCACCACTGTTTTAGCCTCTAGCTGTACATTTGGCTCTTTAAACACACACACACACACACACACACACACACACACGAGATTATGAAATATTTTACTTTCTGTAGCTGGATTATTTATTTTAGCCTGACGTTCCCCAGGCTCATCTACGCTGTGGCAAACAGCGAGACTGAATTCTTTTTTAGGGCTGAATAACACTCCCTTGTAAATATGGTCCAAATTTTAGCCATGTGTCCATCAACCGGCATTCTTTCCATATCATAGTTACTGTGGAAAGCACAGCCATGAACTCGGGGCTGCAGATGGCTGTATTAGGTGGGGATTTTCAGTTCCCCTGTGTACGTACCCAGAAGAGGGGACTGCTGAGAATATAGGAGTTAGACTGGTCATTTTTTAGGGGGGTGGGGTGGGCCCATGCTGTTTTCTGTAATAGTTGTACCAAGCTACACTTTTAGCAACAGCACAGAAGAGTCCCCTTCCCTCTACTCTCCCCAACATTTGAGTTTTTTGCTTTGTTGTTTTGTGAAAATCACTATCCACCTAGGTATAAAGTGGTGATCTCACAATGGTTTGGTTTGCATTTCCCAGATGATGCCAGAAAAAAAAAATTGTAGGCCTGTTTGTGTGGCCTTGGTACCTTTTAGAAAAATGCCTGCTCAGGCCTTTTGTCCCTTAAAACTTCAGATTATTTCCTTTCCTAGTTGCAGGAGTTATTTATAGATTCCGGCCCACAGCCCTTTATCAGGCGTACAACGGGCAAATACTTTTCTGAATCTGTGCGGTGCCATCTCATTTGTTGACTGTTGCTTTTGTTATGTGGACATCTTCTCATTTTACATCGTCCCATTTATTTATTTTTGCTTCTGTGGTCTGAGCTTTGGTGGCACATCCTAAAGAAGCCTCACCAAGGCCAATGACAGACCTTTGCCCATTTTCACTTCCCGGATGCAGGAGAGTTTCTGGTCTTTCCTTTTGGGTCTTTATCTGTTCCTGGTTAGTGTTTGAGTTTGAGTGTCCAGTTTCATTCTTTAGCTTCTGAGATCCCATTTCCCCCACACCACTCCATGAAGACCACCCTCGCTCCTCGCTCCTCATTGTTCTCTTGTGAAGTTTCCTCTTTGTCTCTACGACACTTTTTCATCCCAAGACAACTTTTTTTTTTGTTTGTTTGTTTGTTTGTTTTTTGAGACAGGGTTTCTCTGTGTAGCTTTGAGCCTTTCCTGGAACTCGCTTTGGAGACCAGGCTGGCCTCGAACTCACAAAGATCCGCTGCCTCTGCCTCCCGAGTGCTGGGATTAAAGGCGTACGCCACCACTGCCCGACATCCAAGACAACTTTATTAGACACAAGTATAGCCAGCTGATCTCTTTGGGTCAACATTAACCTGAAACATCTTTTGTCCCTTCATCCGGGAACCTCTAGTAAAGAGACCTTTAAATGTAGCTAGGCGCTCCGGTTAGAACTGAAAACTGTTCTGAGCGTGGCTGGCTCCGGTAGAGAGGGTGCTGGGTTCTTTACTGCAAGCCCTTTCTGGCAGTTCACGGGCTGGGTCCCAGGACCAGTCGGGGGAGGGTGGCTTCCCCTTCTGAAGCTGCCAGTCAAGGCCTTATGATTGCCTGTGGTCAGGGCTGAAAGATCACACTCAGCATTTTTGGCCCGGAGCTGGAACTCCTCGGCTCAGTCCTTCTGTCCTATTAACCTTCGGGGTTCCATTGTTTTCGACCCCACCCTGTGCATCTTCATCTGTGTCGGGCCTTGTCCTCAGACAGTCAGACCTGTGTTGGCCTGAGAGTGAGACACTGTAGAGCTCTGCAGACCTGTGAAGGGCTCATTCTTCCTGGGCACCCATCCGTGGTGCCTTCTGTCCCACACCCAGCTCAGTAGTGCCGTGGAGGAGTATACTTTGCATGTGATCCCTTTTGTGTCTTTGGAATTGCTGCGGGGGAACAGGATTTTCATGTCCCGGAGAAGGAGTAGGCACCGCACACATCTGTTCTGGATGAGCTCTGGTGGCCCCTCTGCCTCCTGTCTGTACCATCCTTCCTGCTCTGTGCCCCAGCACGCTGCACTTGGGGGGATCCCAGGCACTCTGCTCCCGTTTGCCTTGGTGGATGGGAGTCAATGGAAGCAGATTGGGTGGAGGGGAGAGGGGAATTTCATAGTAGTTGATTTTTCAGCATCACCCATGCTGGACCGCAAGTGCCAGCTGCATTGTTTTATAGTAGTATCTACCAATGGTCCTCTCTTACAACTAGAGCCACAGCCACACCTATTACAACCACAACTACAATAATTGTAACCACAAGCACAGCAGACTACCAGCATGGCTACTACAGCTTCAACCACAACCACAACTCTTAACTACAAGGGCTCTCTCTGGGATTAAGAATCTTCTCTCGCCTCCCTCCCTTTGCCCCTGAAGTGGTAATTACTCCCCCCCCCTTTTTTCAGCATTGGGATCCTTCCAGCTCTTTAAATAGTTCCCTTCTACAAGTCTGTAAATAGTTCCTCTTCCTAAATAGCCCTCCATTATCGTAGCTGAACGCAGACTCCCATTGTGACACTGTCTCCTCCTCACCACCACATTGTATGTGTTCAGTGTAATTATTCTAATATCACTCATGTGGAAACGGAAGGCGAACAACGTGTCTAAGTTTATTCAGCTAAGACAGGGATGCAGTTAACAGGTCGGTCTAGTTAACATAAGAAATAGGTTGCTTAGCTAGGCTCTAACTGCACGGTGGAAGGCATAGTGGAGGGGTTATGTTTTTGGAGCCAAGAAGAAAATTGGGATTGTCTAAGAAAAAAAAGAGAAAAAAAGCTACATCAGATTTTGGAATGACCTCAGCATTTTGTGAAGAATAAAAGACTAAGAGTCAGTGTGTGTGTATGTGTGTGTGTATGTGTGTGTGTGTGTGTATGTGTGTGTGTATGTGTGTGTGTGTGTGTGTATGTGTGTGTGTGTGTGTGTGTGTGTGTGTAAAGCTTGGTGATATGTATGAGGAGTGACAATTATGATTACTGTAGGTAAGAGTGACTAAACTCTTCAGCTCCATAGTTTCTATCCCATCTACCACATTACACCTGCTTGTCGTGTAAGTAATAATGATGCTATGATATCAGATTATATTGCCCATGAGCAGATACACAAAAGGCTCTTAAGTAAGTGTCCATACCTGGTTCACAGAAAAATGCCTGTCATGGTTAATCTCCATTGTCAACTGGGCTGGGTTTAGAATCACCCGGGAAACACAGCTCTGGATATGCTCTAAGGCTCTTTCCAGAGAGGCGCAATGAAGGAAGGGTGATCCTGAACATGGGCAGCGGCATCCCGTGAACAGGGGTCTTAGACTGAATATCAAGGAACAGAGGAGAAAGCTGAGCTCCAGTGTTCCCTTTCCTCGGCGACCTTGTCTCATGACCTGGTCTCCTGAGATGTGAGGAGTCCCAGTCATTCTTGCCATGGTGAACTCACTGAAAATAAATTTCCTTTTGAAGTTGCTTTTGTAGGAGTTAAGCACACTGATGAGAAAATGACACACAGACTCCTGTAATAAGTGGAAAGCAAGCAGCTTTGGTCTAAACGGCTCTTCCATGCTCTCCCCACTCAGCAGACAGGCAGTGGCTGTCTTTAGACAGCTGTCGTCAACAAGTTGAGTCAATGTCCTAGTTTGCATTTCTCTTGCTGTGATACAAACCATGACCAAAACCAAGCTAGGAAGCAAGTATTCATTTCAGGCTACAGGTCATCAAGGGAAGCTGAGGCAAGATTCAACTCTGGAACCAGGAACCAGGAACTAAGGCACAGACCACAGTGGAACGCTGCTTACTGGCTCGCTCCCTATGGCTAGCTCAGGTCGCTTTTGTATACAACCCAGGACCATCTATCTGTTCAGCTGGAGTACTGCCCCTAATGGCCTGAACCTCTCACATCAATTAGCAACCAAGAAAATGCCCCAGAGACAGGTGCACAGACCAGTCTGAAGGAGACCATTCTTCAGTTGAGGTTCCTTCTTCCAAGATGACTCAAGTCGACACAAGCCAACCAGCACAGTCGATGAGTCCATAACAGAAGAAAGTAAGGAGAAATGGAATATAAGAAGAGCCTGTAATATTTGTGGTTCTTTTTTTAACATGGGGCTAGAAACAAAGAGATGAGAGAATATTGTGCTTGATGATATTTGCTAGTCCAAATGAAATTTTGATTGAAAAATCCACAATTTTTCCTCTTTTTGAAACTTTAATTGTGACAAACTTAGTTTAACAAACGCCTTTTCCCCCCACTCTTGCTGCAGGAATCATGCCCTTATCATCGAGAGTATTCAGTCCCAGGAGGCACTTATTGGGAGCATGTCATCACTGAGAAACAGTGAAGTCAGCGCTGTCCCCTTGGCCACCTGTGGGAGCCACCAGGGTCAAAACGCTCCGAGTGGGGTTCATTATTTAATCCGGCACTTTTCAAAACCCAGCCCTCTTCTCGTTGGACATTCTCTTTGGCCAAACCTTTACCTTTTGAGGTTGTTTGATCTGAAGGAGCCGAGCTGGCCCTTAGAAGACCAAGCCAGAGCTGAGAGAAGAGAAAGACGCTTAAAGCAAAGACTCACACTTTGTTGTACGAATGTCCTAAGAGTAGCTGTGGCATCACAGAATGTTCCATCTGGGGCTTTTAAAGGGCAGTGGAGCCCCGAGGCCCCCATCTCTGGGGGCCCTTTGTTTATTTGCAGGCCTGGAAGATGGCCCAGTGGGTAGAGTCCTTGCCGGGTACGAGTGAGGATCTGGTTCGATCCCCAGCATTCACATATAAGCAAGGTCTTGTAGTGGTCCAAACTGTAACCCCAGCGATGGGTCCACAGACAAAGGGATTCTCTGAGCTTGCTGGCCACCTAGTCTTGCTGAAACTGCTAGCCTCAAATTCAACAAGAGATCTTGTCTCATAAACCAAGTGGAAAGTGACAGAGGAAGACACCTGATATTAATTTGTAGCTCTGCATGTACATACATGTGTGTGATCATATGCACACACACATATACCACACACACAAATTAAAATATATATTTAAATTTTTATTTATTCTTCTCTCATTCAATACATGCCCACAGCAGCTTCCCCTCCCTCCATTCTTCCCAGTTTCCCTCTACCCCCCCTCTCCCCTAAATCCACTCCCCCCAGGTCCCTCAGAAAAGAGCAGGCTTCCCAGGAACATAATTGAACACAGCACAAGATCCAATAAGACCAGGCACAAGCCCTCACATTAAGGCTATTCTAATGCCCAAATATAGCTATGGCGCTTGAAGTATATATAGGTAGCAAATTCATAGTTTTGAATGAAGCACTGTATAGTTATGCTATTGGAGAGAGAGTTTCAATATTCACAAAAGTCATTAAGTCATAAAACAAAATGGGTCTGAGACGTCAGTTAAAAAGCTAGAACCTCTATGATGCTGGTCTTTGTCCTTTGATATTACCGGTATATTCCATCCGGAGCTCCACAGTGGAGACCTTTCGCAAATGTAGGTTCTTCTGGTCTCCATTAAGATAGAGGACAGGGGAGGCCTGACATACTTGGCCCATTAAGACATTTTAAAAAAAAGGCTTAATGAAAGATGGTGTTTCAAGACAATCTTGCCTCTCCCACCAGGTCTCCTTCCAATACCATTAGTACACACACACACACACACACACACACACACACACACACACACACACACTTCATTGTTTATAGAGGAAGTCATATGGATCTTTGTTCCCAGTGGGGATTATCAGTAGTGCTCAAATGTCCCAAGAATCTCCAGTGGCCCCCACACATGATCCTTTTCTGGGAACCTCTGTAACAGTGAGAAATGGACCCACCTCTCAGAGCCCTGGACCTGGAAACTTAGGGTCATGCAGATTTGGGTTCAAGTTCTGCTACCCCAAGAATAGTTGAGCAACATGGAGACACGAGGCTAATTGCTCCGCGCCTTCATCTGGGCTGTAGTGGGAATAGTAACACTATTCCCTCTTCCTGGAACGAAGATCCGGGGAGTGGGCACGAGGCAAACATCAGTTCGCTGCTCAGCCTCTAACGGACACACTCAACGTTTGTTCTTTTCTCTTGTTCCTGTTCAAATTTCCAGAAATAGAGACTGATGTAGAAGTTATAAAAATGTTTAAAACGAACCTTTCAATCTACGTTTTTGATGTGTGTAAGTTATTTGGTTTTCAATCTCTCCCGGCTCAGAACAGCACCACCGCCCTTGTGCGGTGCTCACACGTGGCCTCCAGATGGCAGTATGAACTCGGCTGATGGAGCCAGTTACTCCGAACAACAGGACGGGGCAAGGCGTCTTGCTTTCCTATTAAATCATGCTGTAGAACACAATGACCATTCTTTGATTTTTAAAAGGCAGTAAGCATATTTCTGTCTTTCACTTTGGAAGATGTTTCACTATAAACTTAGTATGGACTATGGCTCTGACACATGACTCTGAATGCCCCAGCCTGAGCATGTTGGATACCTCACCCACAGATGAAGACAAAATGTGCCAAATTTAACAAGAAATAGAAATATTATCTATGTTATTACAATTTCCACCATGTTGATCCCCAGAAGTCATTCAAGAGCTCGAGAGACCGTGTCCGCCATTCTTCCCATACCATACCTGTGGCAGCGTGTATTCAGACTCATCTCCATTAGAATGCTTCCATGTCTGTCAAAACCATGAAAGACTGAATTATTTTAAAAGGTGGTATAGGTGTTTCTATAGAAACAGCATGAGGGATTTTGCTACTGGAGGCGTTGGTATTCATTCAACAACTATTTAGTCAGCTCCTTGTTCAATGAGCAAAACAGTGCGTTCGCGGATAATGCAAGCTACAGATCAAAAGGAGGAGGGGGGCAAAGGGGAAGCATTAAGATACAAATTTAATATGTGCTGCATTCAGAAGAGACACTGAGTAAAGCTGTGAAATGAAGCGTGTGCTGGAGGAACAAGGGTATGGATCAGTCTAGAACATTCCAGGCAGCCGGACCCACAAAGGCCAAGATGCAGGGACATCAATAAAGCCAGTTATTGGACAACTCTTCTCTTTTTCTCTCCCAGCCTATGGAGGTCGTCTTCTTCTTTTAACAGTCTCTTTTGAGATATGCAGAACAACTTTAATTTTTTAATGAGCACAAAGTATCATTCTTTCATGGGCTACTCACTGGGTGGTAGTGAACATGTGTGAGGATCATGTGCATGAGTGTGAAAAATGTAAAATATTGCACATATTTACATGCCATCCTTGCCCAGGGGCCGTGCTAATATCCCTATCATTCCAACGTTGGCCCAATGTCTATGCTGCTGAGATGGGCATTTCAATTAGCTTCTGGAAGTTTTGCTTAGCATTTTACATTCTGGTCTGGTGTCCATTCTGAATTTCCTTCTTGGTCTCTTGGTAGGTTCTTCGGTGTTATTTGGTTTGGGAGTATCCCGTTGTCCAGTATCCTGAATGTTAAAAATAGTCTGTGTTTCCCTTTCGTTGGGACTGCCTTTGCTCATGGAGATCAGCAGGCTGCAGCTATGTGGATCGATTTCTGAGTACTCTCCCCTCTCCTTTGGTCTAGCTGTCTAGTCTCTTGTCAGCTGCCTTGGTCACAGCAGCTTTACAGTATGTCTTTGAATGTCAGGTTTTATTATTATTATTATTATCATTATTATTATTATTATTATTACTGTTATTATTTTTCCTGGAACTTTTGTTTTTCCATAAGGACTATTTAAAGCTGTCAATGTCTGCCAACTAGCTTAGCGCGATTTTTGGCTAGGACTGCATTAAATCTGTAAGTCTTATGGTCCCCAAGTTGTGGTTATTTTTAGCTTTACAATGGTGCAAATGTGATACACGTTCAGCAACACAATACACCTTGATTCTTGTTCTCTCCTAGGCTAGGGATAGGAGCATAGTGCTTGCTCATGAACCTCGAAGGCAGCAGCCACAGCTGTCAGCCAGCCACACGATCATCAGGGCAAACAACCCATACTCCACCATGTATGGACTGCGTTGCTAAGCTGTGGTGTTTGGTAGTTCAAGTGTATTAAATTATTAAATGCTTTTCAGTTCATGATAGCTTTAATTTACAATGTGTTTATTGGGATATAATCCCAGTGCAAATCAAGGAACATCTGTAGCTGCAAAGAATTGCCCCCATCCCTGATGTTGAAGATCACACCCAGGCTCTGGCATGGCTTAGGCAAGCAAGCTGTCTGTCTCTGAGCTACATGCCTCCCGGCCCTTGGTTTTCTTTAGACAGCCTCACTATGTACCTGAGGTTGGCCCTGAACCCATGGTCCTTCTGTACGGTGTGTTTAAAGGTGTCAGCCACCATTTCTGGCATAAGAACGGCCAACTTATCAATATTAACTCTTCCTACCATGTACACAGAAATGGGTTACCTCTCCATCATTGATCTTCCTTGATGTTTTCAGAATCTATTCTCCTCCTGCAGACCTTGTACTACCTGTGCCGAGGTTACAACTCACTATTCCAGTTACTTGTACCTGTGTTTCCTACTCCAACAGAGCCGATGTTGAAATGCAGCTTCGGTTTTGCTTCCAGTGAAAGACTTTTCTACCATCAAGATTTTCACTCTCATCTCTCAAAAGCTGACGGGGCAGAGCAGAGAACTTCCCTGTGTCAGGCTCTGTATGTGTTAATCGTGAACCACCTGCCATGACTCAGTGATAGATGGGAGAGAGGTTTTAATAAGCCACAGACATGGTTAAAGCAAAACAAAACTATGCTCCGCAGGCTCCAGAAGGCACAGAGTTGGGGCTTTAGAAAGGTGAATACGGCTGAAGAGGCCAGAGTGCCACAGCCACTCACACCCCACAGGGTCACTTTGTCTGGAAGTGACTGTGTCTGTTTGTCTTCATATGCAGCAATGGTTGCTCCAGCCTTGAATTGCTTCCTATGCAGAATTCTTCAGCTCTAACCTGTGTGCCCTGGGCATATGACAGACACTATGGATTATAGTGGCAAGTGAGATGTCAATTAAAATGAGATGCTCTTGTTTCCTTTGAGGTGGTTCAGTATTACAGACACATACATCCACATAACACCTTTTAGTGCCCTTGGCACCTAATTCATATCATCTCTGACTTGGTTCCAGTTTCAGACTCCCTTTTGAGACTTCTCACTTGCTGGGTCTTGAGGAAAATACTCCTTCTGTTCTGTGTATGTGCACCCAGGTCAACACCATGTTAGAATAGTAAAGTCATAGCTACCATGCTTACTTACCTCTGGGATTATTAGGAAAAAAAACTCCACTATTTCCAGAAGTTTGTGTTTGAGAAGCTTTCCTATACTAAGGTATATGGTGTTTCATTTAAAATTCTGGAAAGATGTGAGGGTGGGCGGAGCGGCAGGGGAGTTGAAAGGACTTAGGAAGTGGTGATAACTATTGAGGTTGAGAGGCAGGCAGGAGGGACCCTGTGTTGAAGTCTTTCCTTTTCTCTGTTAGAACATTTCCAGACTAACTCTTTTCTTTCCTTCTTTTTTTTTTTTAAGAAGAGAAGGAACAGCTCTTTAGAAACCAGCAGAGCCTGGGATGGAAAGAGGATTCAGCTGGTAAAGCGCTTGCCTCACAGACACGTGGACCTGGGTTTGATCCCCAGAATATGTGTAAAAAAGAGGGTGCAGTCACAGACTGTTATCCCAGCACTGGGAGATGAGACAGGAGGGTCCCTGAGACTCACTAGCCAGCTAGTCTGGGCTAACTAAAGAGCTCCATGCCAACGAGAGAAACCCTCTCAAAGGAGGTGGACGGTATTCCTGAGGATGACATCTAAGAGTGTTCTGGACTCCATACATATGGGGCACACAGGTCTACCTGCACCCAGGACCACCACCCACACACCCACACAAAGAAACAATAGCAGAAACTTTTGAAATAATTGCCATTAATATTTGCTTTGTATAAAGCTTCCTGCATCCTTTTTGCAGAGACGTACCTTTGGGGAGAATCAAGGAATGTTAGGGTGTCAGCAGCCCCGAGTATAGTTTAAGATACAGCTAAGAGAATGTAGCTGATGTGACAAACACTGGTTTGAGGGTATCAGTGACTTAAAGACTTGCAAAGCTAAATCCCGCAAGGCTGGAGGATAACATCATCAGTCTCTACTTGACCAGAGGAGACAGTTATTGCTACACAGAAGATGTTGGGGGTACACATTACATGTGATGGCACATTGAGTCTCCCAGAAGTGCTGTTCATGAGACATTACACTGATTCTTCCTGCACTGCTGCTACTTTTCTGATTTTATAAGTGACAAGTGACTGAGAGAGGACTACCTGCCTGCCCAAGATCACCCTCTCTAAACGATGAAGGCACATTCTGAATTAACACAGTCTCTCAACAGAGTCTGAATTAATTGACATTCTATTTGTCTTAAAGACCAAAAAAAAAATAGTGAATTTGAGTAAATGAACTGGACACGCCTATGAAAATTTCATCTATGAACCTCAGTCAAATTATTCATAGGCAAGCTTGTGATCATGATTCTGGGAATCTGGGTGTCATACACTGTGAGGGAAGAACAGGGCTAGACTAAGCTCAGAAGAATGAGGTTACACCTGCTTGGGGTGTAAAACCTTGAAGAAACATGTGAAATCATCCAACAGTCAAGAGACATAATTTAATAACACAACTAAGAGTAAAAACCAAAGTTATTATGAATAAAATGTCAAAACCTTAAATACAGAATTGGTAATGGGTTTGTCCTCCATTGCTCTAAAGTCTGGAGCAAGAAGAAAAAAAAGGTAAAGCTGTTTTCTCCTTTATTGAAAATGCTGATCTTTTGTTCATTATGGATTTTTTAATCTATTTTCTGAAAAACTGTGTGTGTGTGTGTGTGTGTGTGTGTGTGTGTGTGTGTGTGTGTGCTTGTGTGTGTGTTTGCTTGTGTGTGTGTGTGCATAGACCAGGGCATATTTGTAGAAATCAGATGACAATTCATTGAATTGTTTCTTTTCTGTAACCTTAAAGATACGGGGATCAAATTCAGGTTGTGAGCCGTGTGTGAAAGCGCGTCTCTCCACTGAGGCATCTCGTCAGCCCTAGTTTTTATTTTCAACCAAGATATGATGTCTCTTTATTCCTGAAGATTTTTGGTGCCCCCTCTTACATTTTGTGCCAAGAGATTGGACAGAAGTCCCAGGCATAAAAAGAGTTTGTGGTTGGGGAAGTGCTTAGGTGCTTAGGAGAAAGCAGGCTTTCTCCTTTTCATCCCCAAAATTATTCTAAAGAATGCCAGGTTATGCATGATCCCAAATAAAATTCCCCAAAGCCCAATCGTTATTGGGTACATGATTCCAAATACTTATCAAGGAAATTCTAACTGGTGGTCCCGGCCCAGCAGGGAGTCCCTTCTGGGACAGCTGTGGTTTGGATCGATGTGTCCACATTGTGGAAACTCAGAGCATCTGTTGCCGCAATGATTCTGAAAACCAGTGTTCCACCAATGCCTCTGTAAACATCTCTCACCTGAGAACCTTGACGAAATGCAGGTACTGACTAATTCTGGTGTGTACCCAAGGCGAGGCACACACCCTCAGGTGCTGCTGCTGCTGCTGAGGATGATTTGATGATGATGAGGATGAGGATGATGATGAGGAGGAGGAGGAAGATATAGCAAGCACACTAAAAAGCAAGATTACTTGGGAGGCTGGTTAAATATCTGGATTCCTGGGGATGAACTGCCAGCAATTTTGATGTTGTAGTCTAGTGTAGCTCTTAGAAATGTGTATTTTACAAAGATGTCCCAGGGAGATGAATACAAGTATCCCATGGGTCACAGCTGACAACCTCTATTCCAGCTCTCTGGACAGTTTTTGAACTCTGTCCATTCTGTTAAACAGAAGGGACACTTGACTCTCCGAGCTCCTCCTTCTGTCCCCAGATCTTGTGTTTACTCTTAGAAGCCCCAAGAACCCTTGTTCATCTGAAATGAAGACAAGGATGAGGGAAGAAAGGAATAAGAAAAGAAGGAGGGGAAAGGGCCACTTATACCCCGGAGGCTTTTCCCATCTCAGGCAGCCAATATTCTGTACTTCAGGCAACACCGTCACTTACAAATTCACCTACATTGGGCATTTGCTGGTGAAGTCTTGGTTTTCAAATTATTAATGAACTTTTCCTGGTGATTGCTGTAGAATGGTTTTATACCTCACGCAAATAGGGCCACAGAGCTACTAAGATTGGGAAGACCTGGATAATTTAACAGGATCAGAGATAAAACAGCGTGGCAGGAAAGTTGACACAGATGGGCTGGTCAACAAGGGGACTGACTCCTCAAGAAGAAGAAGACTGTCCT